AGGCGACCCAGCTGGACTCAGGTGTGATTTTCCCCAGCCTGAACAAGGAAGAGACTAGCTGCCCCCCGACCCTGTCGTTCAGTAGCAAAATAGGAGGTGTGGAGTAGGTGCCAGACACGAGAAGGTAGGGAGGACAACCAGGTTGGTTCACCCTGACCGATGTCGACTGGCTGAACAGCTGGCAGGACAGCTGACCACGTCCACCTGGCCCTTGGGGCCTCAGAGGCGGGCTACCCAGCGCAGCAGCATGTTTCAAGGCCAGTCAAGCCTCGGACACCAGGGACCCCAAGCAGCCATCGCCTGGCCTGCTACCCACTCCCCCTAGGCCCCGGCGCAGCGGGCACAGGCCGAGGGCTCCGGGCTGGGCAGGGACGGGCCCTGTGCTCCAGGAAGCGACCGTGTCTGCAGCTCGTCAGCCCCTCCCGCCCATGGGGCCGTCAGTCCTGGCCGGGCCGCCTCACCTCGCGCGGGCGGCGGGCTCTTCGGCGTCCGGGCGACTGTGCTGACCCTCTCCGGGCCACGGACACAGCCCCGACCACCGACACCGCCGCCGCCGCCGCCGCCATCCTCAGGCGTCAGCGTCGTGGCGTCATCACAGCGCGCTCTTGACGCCAAAACAAATCCGGGCCGCCCACGGGGCGGGACAGGGGCGGACTCGAGAGGGCCGGGCTACGCGGTTGGCGGCTCTCCGAGCGTGGCTTGCCAGTCAACGCCTTCAGGGCGGGGTCGGGCTCTCTCTGGGAGTAGGAGGTAAGTCTCTGTGTCGCTCCAAGTGTCTCGACCCTAGGTTTGGGGCAGGCACCGTGGGAAGTAGGGGGAAAGTTTCAATATTCAGGTTGGGGCAGGGCGCTTTATAGTGCGAGGTTGGGTGGATTTCCATGGAGATCCAGAGGTTAAGACTCCGCACTCCCAATTCAGGGGCCACGGGTTCGATCCCTGGTGGGGAAAATAAGATCCCGCATGCCGCGGGGCGCGGCCAAAAATAAAATAATAATATAGTGCGTGGTTGGGGACGTAGTGCATTTCAGGAGGTTTCTGGAAGTGCCTCTGGAACTCCGGAAAGGATCGGTATAAATTTAATTAACAAATCTATTTTTTTAACTGAAATTAAAATAATTCAGGCACTCAGATATGTTGAATTTGACCTCCATCACAGCGGAGTTGCAAATGGTTAACGAGAATAGATGAGATTAGTTTGGGGCCAACTTCAGAGTAAGTTTAATTATTTTTGTTTTTATTGTTACTAAATTTAGTATATCCTGAGGCTGCAAAACAAGTAGATTAAAGAAAAATTGTTACCATTAACAGTTCCTCTATAGGGTCAGAATTATCTCACTTAACTTTACAATCAACCCAGATTCGGGGTGGAGATGGGGGGGGAAATAAATGTCTCAAGTAATAAGGGGATTTTTTTTCCTTCTTTAATAATATTTTTATTACTTACCTTATATTTACTATTGGGGCGCAATCCACGTGCTTGGTGGAGTCTTTCACTGAGCAACCATGAAGAGCAGGGCTGGAGAACAACCCAGTTTCTTTCTTTAAGGCAACAGCATTCTTCCCCAACTGGCTGTGACTCAATAGGGATCACCATAAGGGAGAGATGGCATAGTTTGGCAGGATTTGAACCTGCGCAGGGAAACCCCAATGGATTTCTAGTCCATCACCTTAACCCCCCCTGCCCCCGGCCACAACTACTTTTGAGTGATGATGGGATTGTAATCTCCATACATCTTCCTCATTGCAGTCTGTTCATTTCTTAAAATCTTTATTGAGCCCTTACTTCATACATGGAATTGTCTTTAACTGTATAAGCTAATGTTATACTTTAAACCTAAACATATATTAACACCAATAAAATATCACAGTCTGTTTTATGTAGTAGGGCTTCATAAAAGATTTTATTAAAAAAGAAAACTTTAGGGACTTCTCTGGTGGTCCAGTGGTTAAGACTTCATGCTTCCACTGCAAGGGGGTGTGGGTTCAATCCCTGGTCAGGGAGCTAAAATCCCACAGGCCACTCAGCCAAAAATAAAATAAATAAAAATAAAAAAGAAAACTTAAAAAATTATTTCCATATGTCTAGTGTGATGCTTAAGGGAATGAACTTAGGGGCCAAGCAAACTTGGGATCATATCCCAGCTCTGACACTTCCACAGTTGTGTGAACTGAACTTAAGCAAGACATCTTCCCCTCCTTAAGCTTCATGTTTCTTATCTGTATAATGGGGATCATAGTCTTGACCTCACAATTATTGTGAGGGTTGAAAATAATACAGAATTCCAGGGTTGGTGGGGCTTAGAAATCCACACAACACCTCTATTTTACAGACATTCAGCAAATTAATTCAATAAATATTTATTGAGCCCTTGCTATGGAAGGTGCTGGCCTGGGCTCTGGTGAAGAACACGGGGGCCCTGAGATGAAGAGGTATATTGATGCAGAGGGGACTGGGCTCAGGATATCCAACCCCCAGATTCTCCCTTGAACAATAAGCTGTTCCATGTCTGCAGAGCTGCAAACATGAGAAGCACCATTATCATGATGCTCTGGCCTGGGCAGCTGTGTCTAGGGCCCAGCCCACTTGGCTCTCAGCCCACCCCTTTCCTGCAGCTCTGGGATAAAACACACAAAGCTCTTAAGCCCCTGGCCAGAGAGCAGATTCTGTCCCCAACCCCACCCCCCTGCACACACTCCAGGTCACTCAATTCCAGGGAAGAGCAGGGACTTAGGGGGCAAAAACCAGGGGAAAGTAGGTCACAGCAGGAGGATGGTAATCCCTTTGATGGCTGGCCAACACAATCGAGCCCCTGCTCCTGGCCACCCACCAAGAGTAAGAGTGGCTCTAGAAAGACTTTTGGGGTTTGGAGCCCCAGCACCATCCCTCCAAATAGTATGCTCAGGTTAAGAGGGCTGCCCCAAGAAGACACATCCTCCATACTGAAGTCATTCTCAGTCCAAGCTTTTGCTGACTGTAACACTTCCTGTGCAGGATTTAGCAATTCTGTTTTTCATTCCACGCACTCCCACAAGTACACTCTTTATACCCAGCCTTAGGCTGGGTGCTAGAGACACAAAGAGGACACTTGGGGAATCCAGAGTGGGGAATTCTGACCTAGACCCAGACAGTAAGAAGCCAGTGAACCAGTGTTATCCGTACAGAGACAGAAGAAAGCCCAGGAGCTGTGTGGACCTGAAGGAGGCTTCTGATTCAGCTTGGAGTCAGGGTTAGGGAGGCGGTAGGTGATACTGAACAAGAAGTAGGAGTTCACCAGGAGGAAATGAGGAAGGTTATTCTGAGCACAGAGAATAGATGTACAAAGAATAAAAGGCTGGCCTTTCCTTCTGGAAGATACTGGTGGTCAAAGGGGGTGGATCTGGGAGGGTTTTTTTCCTGAAACTTCTCCTTCAGGTGATGTGAGATGGGTAAGGAATGGCTGAGAGAGAGAGAAGTGGGGATAAAAATACAGGTGAATGAAGTACAGGAGAAAAGACAGGGCAGAGAGTGAGTTAACTGAGGCATCTTAGCTAACTGGAATGGGAGGGTGTTTGGGAAGCGTTGCTGAGGTAGGGCTCCTACATGATAAAGTAGGGTGGAGGTCTCTGGAGGCACCTGTCACCCTGGAGCCTAGTCAAGGGTCCTATCAGGCCTGAATCTGTCCTAGGGCCAACAACCTCCCAGCATGGGCTTTAGTGCAAACCTGGCCTGCCAAGTTCTGGACTCCCACCCCTCCTCCCCTCCCAGCTGATTGCCTGGGCCCCCCTTGTAAAGTCCTCTCCAACTCAGCCCCAGTTCTCCTCCACCATTTGTAAGTCTTGTATCCTTACCTCCTATCACCCTCTATCATGGTCCTTCTCTGAAACCCCCCTTAACCCAAGGACTGAGTAGGTAGATCACTCCTCTGTGCTACTACAGAGGGGGAGTTGAAGGAGTAGACTGAATAAAATGTCCTATATATAAACATAGCTGGCTTACATAGGGCCTTATAGACAATGAAAAGGAGTTTAATATCAGGATTAGTTTTTCAATTTAGAAAATGGAGAATAAAGTGGAGGGAGTGAGAGTAGAAGCCAGTGAGGAGGCCATGGCAGTGCCCACACAAGTCGTGGGGTGATGGCTTGGAAGAGGATCCTGGCAGGGACAGTAGATGACTGATCAATAGAGGGTCTCACCCTCTCTGAGGCCTCCTCCTTCCCTCAGGATTCTGCCTGTTCTGATTCTTGCTCTTCTCCACCATGATGAACTGGGGCTCCTCTGTGCTTCCAGAAAGCCTTCTGGGATTGTTCTGACCTCACACTGCACACCTCTTCTCAAAGAACGAGCTTGTGGAGAGCATAAGGCCAGAGGAACCCTCATCGTGACCCCAATTTCTGAAGCTCCAGGTCACCTCAGGTACTTGAATGTAGACTCCAATGGGGGCTCCCCATCTTCTGGAACAGGCTCCCCTCAGATGAATCAGGACCCCAGAGAAGGAGAGGAAAGGGTACTTAATCTGAACTGTGTCTTGAAGGCTAAGGTGGTAGTTCAGCAGAGGGAGGAGGAGGTGAGATGGACAGGAGCCTGGAAACTGGAAAGAACCTGGGGAGGGGGGTAGACTGGCTGAGGGTGGGGTTGTGGACACTCTATCACCTCACATGGCCCCTAGGGGCCAGGACAGGAGGGGCAGGTAGGGCTAGGAATGCCAGCCCGGGAGAACAGAGAAATATGTGCATTCCCACACATCTTGGGTCACCACCAGAAGTCTTGGAACCTGCTGGCAATGGAAAGCTCTGCACTGCCCCTGGGAAATGAGTGTTTGTGAAGAGAAAGACTGAGTCCCCTATGGTGGTCTTCAGCCCGCCCATCTCGTCCTGGGGATCAGCTTCTTGAGGCCTCCACCCCAGCCAGGTGGGCCGCAGTGGAAAGAAAGGAAGGAGCTTGGTACAAATATAAATACCTTTAATGAAAGCCGAGCGCTTTCGAGACGGGGCGGGGGGGTGGGCGGGGGGGGCGGGGGGGACACGCTGCTACCCGGCCAGACCGGCTAGGCCAGAGGACCCAGGAGGCAGGCGAGTGCCAAAGCAGCCGCCAGCAGAGGGGGCTCGGGGACCCGAGTGGGTGCTGGCGCTGTCGCCCGCAGCGTCTGCTGGTTGGTCTCTGGGCCCGCCCCGCGCTCCTGAAGGCGCTCCTGAAGGCGTACAGGGGTGCCGCACAGAGTGTGCAAATTATCTGGGTGTGGGGCCCGGCGAGCTTCTTGCTGTAGTGACTCCCACACGGCGGCGGCCTCCTCAGGGCAGCCCAACAGGACTCGCGAGGCACAGGTGTGGAAATCATTCCAAGACCTGTCAAGGGTTTGGAGTCAGGGTAATCAGGTGGGGCAGGGGGCTTTGGAATGGGAGGGAGGAGGTTCAGACCCCAAGGGTGTGGGGTTGGGCTGCTGCCCTCACGCCTGCCCGTACCTGCAGACGCTCTCCAGCTCACCTCCGCGGCCCATGCCGTCCCCCAAGCGGATGAGACACTCGGCAAAGCCCTGGTATATGGTGTCACAGCGGCCTGGGACCGCTGTGGTTGCTGCCAGGGGAGATACAAGGACTGGGGGTGGGGGTGGAGAATAGTTGATAGGATGAGGTGGCGTGCCCTCACCATCCCTGCCCCTCGCCGCCAAACCCCAGGGGCTTGTTTACCAGGGAGCGTTCTGGGGATGTGACTCAGCGTGAAAGGGGTGCCCCAGGGAACTAAGGGGCACATCTGGGGACCACCTGCCTCTGCCCCCTTCTAGGCAGACCTGGACAGGATAGGTGGGGATGGGGGAAGAAGAAGCCTCGTCCCAGGAGTTGGCTCTTCTTCCGAGCTTCTGGGTCCCAGGTCAGGTGAGAATGGTCCAAATGAGAGTACGGACATGGTGAAAGGAGGCAGGTCCCCTGGCAACTTCCAGTTTCTCTGCAGCCTAGACAATCTTTGTTTGGCCTTTCCATCCCCTCCCCAGAGACAGGTGTTTTCTGACGGGTAGGGGAGAATAGAGGGGGTTGGGATCCAGGTTCGACCCTAAGAGAGGACCTCAGAGATCCCACAGTTGGTCTGGGAGTCCCGCAAGAGGTCAAGTCTCCCCTTATCAGGATGGGGATTGTGGAATTTGGGGGTTCTTCCCTCCGAAACTAGGGTTCAGTTCCCACCCTCACTTTACATCCTGAAGCCACTGGCACACAATCCCTCCCTGGAGCCCTCTCACCTCCTCTCCACCCTGACTCTCAGCGCTCAGGAGGGCTGTGCCTCAGCTCCCACACAACCTACACCCAGCCTGGGGAGGGGGTGTGTGGACTGGGCTGGGTCCAGCACGCCGGCACTCACCAAGGGGCGGCAGCAGCAGCAGCAACAGCCCCAGTGCACAGGGCGGTTGCCAGCGGTGACAGAAGCGGCAGCACATCTTCCCTGGGCTGGGAGCCTAGTGCCAGAGCTGGCAGCTTGGAGTGCAGCCCTTCAGCCCAGCCCCGAGAAGGAGGAATTGTGATTGGATGGGGGGTGAGGGTGGAGCTCAAACCAGCCAGCAGCCCCGCCCCCCAGTTCAGATAGGCAAAGAAGGGAGGGACTCCAGAGAGAAGAACCCAGGAGCTCGGGGTGGTGCTGAGCTGATCCCAGGGCCCTTGCCTTGCCTCAGAGATGGAGAGCGGAGATCTGGGAAGGCAGTTGGGCAGATGAGGGTGGGTGTCCAGGGCCCTGGGGTGGGTTGGCCTAGACAGAGCTCCAGGAGAGGGGGCAGGTAACAAAGGGCAGTTATCAAAGTCATGCCAAAGACATACGAAAAGCATACACATACTCCATTTTATTCCAAAAGCATTTAATTGAATTTCTCAATGTTTTTCAAAAACAAAAAGAACCAAACTGGTGGTAAAAAGGAACATGGAAAATTCAACTAAAGTGGTGTCATAATCTCAGGGGTCATGCTCCAGGCATGGCAGAACCCAAGAAGGCACAATACCCACCCTGGGCCCAGCCTAAACCTGCTGGCTACCACAACCTATAGACCATAGCCAGTGCTATCCCCATCAAACACGCCAGAGGTGGGAGCCTGAGCAGGTAAAGGGCAGACATGACCCTGCTTTGGTCTGGGCCTGTCTGCTGACCTTCAGTGCCACCCCATCCTGGGCAAGGCAGGCTGAGCTAAGGGAGGCTGGGGGTCATAAGGCCGTGCAGCATGAGGCTGAGACGCCGGGCCGCTTTGCCAAGTGAGTTGTGTGGCTCCGCCTGCAGGAACTGGAAGAGCTTCTGGCGCACCTGGGCCATGACGGAGCCCATGTGGTCCCGAGTGATGGGGTCACTGTGGTCCAGGTGCATCACAGCCTCTTCCAGGTAGCTGGGGGTTTAGGAAAAGGACAGGCTACAGGTGACCTCCAGCAGAGAGGAGTGCCCCCTGGTGGCAATGAGGCCCAGAGGCTGATAATGGAGGCCTCAAAGCCTGAGATGGGTGGGGACAGAGGGGATTGGTGGAGAAAATTAAGGAGGGGAGTCAGGCAGGAGTGGGAGTCGCTGCTTTGAACTGCTCCCTGCCCTTCACCACAGCCCTAGTCCCTGACTATGCCCACTCACCTGAGCTTGAGGTCAGTTCGAGTGCCAAGGTCAGAGGCCAGCTGCTGGATGAGTGAAAGGAGTACAGGCTGGGAGAGGGGGCAAGGTGGCTGCCCAAAAACCTGGCCTGGGTCTACAGTTTCACACACGTACAGCACCAGGTTCAGGTCGGCAGCTGTCAGGGCCTGAGTAGAGAACAGAGTTTATAGCTAATGTCAGGACAGAATGCCTGCTTGTCTGGCTATGTGGCCTGGGAGAGGATGACCAGAGTAGGGCATCCTGAGGGGGATGCTTTGGGGCCCAGAGAGAGCACTGTAGGGCTGTGTTGTTACTCTAGGGAATCAGGAAAGTTTTCCTGAGAAGGGTGGTTCTGAAACAAGGTAGACTGAGGTAGGAAGAAAGGGATCCAGGGTCCAGACAGAGGGAAAAGCAAGGGAAATGCCCTGGAGGCCAAAGAGAACCAAAAAGAGTCTGCTGAGGCCAGACCACCCAAAGCATGATGGGTAGAGTGGAATGTATGATGTGTGAGCCTTGTCAGGAGACTCCTGACTCTATCTGGGCTTAGTGCCCGGCTTACCTGCTGGAAGGCCTGATTGAGGTGGCCCTGCTGCAGCAGCTGCAGGATATGGGCTTGCTGGGCTTGGCAGTCGAGGTGGGTGGCAGGGACAGGTGTGCCAGCGGCTGAGCGCATGGCCTGCATGATGCTAGAGGTGACGGCAGCCTGCTGCTCCTTGAGTGCCACACTCACCTCACCCTTAACAATGCGCTGCACCTGTGCTAAAATTGCCTCTTGCAGGCTGCAAAGGCAAGTGAGGGAGATGAGGCTGACAGGCAGTTGAGTCTGGCCCTTTCCAAACCCACCACCTTGCTCAGTGCCCTGCCCACACACCTGCCCACAGCCACGTGCAGCTGGTGCTGCACCTCAGCCCGAACGCTGCTGGACACGGTAGCCGCCATCTGCTCCGTGGCTCCCTGCAGTGTGCTGACCAGGCCCCGCAGCTGGGCCAGCACGGGCTCCCGCGCCTCCTGTTCTCGTGCCTTTCGGCTCTTCATGTGGCTCTCCAGCTGCTGCAAGTCTGAGAAGTGACCATGGGGGCCATGAGAGGGATGGTAGGGAGAAGACGAGAGCCCTTCCCTTCTTGGGGCATATGACCCTACTCACATTCCTGCGTGCCCAGTCGGAAGCTATCATTGATCTGCTGGAACATGGCCTGGCAGCTCTTCTCAAAGGCAGGCAGTACCACGCTCTGGAAGGCTTCACGGTAGGCGGCCTGCATTGGCCCCTGTAACGTGTCTGCGGCTGCTCGGGCAATGGCATCTGTTAAGTTCTGGGGGTGGAAGAAGGGGCCTGAGTTGAAAGCTGAGCCCAAGCCCACCAACCACCAACCTCCCTCACCTTGGGCCCCATAGCACCTTGGACTTCAGCAGCTTGGAGATATTCTCTTTCATGCTACCCTCCACGGCTGTGAGTTTGGTGGCCACTGAGTTGCTCAGTTGGCCTGCCACGGGCTCCAGACTCCTAGACACACCTGGGACAGGGTGAGGAGGGAAAAGTAGAGCCATGAGAAGAAGCTTGACAGGTAGGGGGCCCCACTCCCATCTGGCCCACCCAGAAGTCTCCATGCAAAACTCACACGGAGGAACCGTCTTCTTGATCTCATCCCGTATGCTGCGCTCCAGCCGCCCAGCCACAGCTGAAGATAGCGCTTGGGACAGCTGTTGCGTCAGCTGCTCCTGCAGCTGCCCACCACGCTGCTGTCCCTCGGCCAGTGCCCGCTCCAGTCGCCGCTCTGCATTGTAGCTAAGGAACAGGGCTGCAGCAGGTCCCATATCCCTTCCTGGGCCAAGAATGCTGCTGCCGCCCCATGCTGTGCCACTGCCCACAAGGATACGCTCCTGCTCGTGCCGTGACTCTAGGGCACGTTCTACGTGGCCCGTGACGGTGCTCTGCAGGCCTTCAAGTTGGGTGCACAGACGCTGTAGCAGCTCTTCTTGGCTGTGCCGAAGCTGTGCCAGCTCTCTCTGCTGTTGCCAAATTAGTGCTGGCCAGTCCTCAGGGGCCTCTGCCACCTGCCAGAAACACCAACAGCCACATGAAGCCCGCCCCGCCCATCCCCACACACCAGACCAGGGGAAGGCTTGGACCCTACCCCACCCCCACAGGCAGGAGTCCCAGAAGCAGAAAGGGTGTTTGCTCGCTCACCTGGTGCTCTGTGAGCCGGGATCCCACGGACGAATCCCTGCCATAGAGGAGAAGCACCTCAGGCCATGTCAAGCAGGCAGCCTGAAGACCACCCCTCTCCCTGGCCCCAGGACCCGTCCTACCCGTCATCCTTTTTGCCCTTTCGCTTGAGCTTGGGTGAGGCCCGAGGGGATCCTTTGGTCTTCCAGTCCTTGGCAGGAAGACGTGGAGTGGGAACTTTGGTGCCAAAACCCCCTGCAGCAGAGGCCAGGCTGGCCACCTCATCATCATGGTCGCTGTGGGAAGGGCAGGGAGAGAAATAGGCACCTACCCACTTGTTGGCCCTCCCTGTGAGAGGAACGGTGCGGGGTGGTGCCTACCTTTGCTCGGCACTGGCATCCTGACTGTCGTGTTGCTGTAGCAGGTGATAAGGTGGTCGGTGAAAGGCCAGGCTCTTGTGCTTTTCCTGGAGGCCATTCCGGGGGCTGGGGGGACAGGCCAACTCAGCAGTGGATGATTCTATCTGAAGCCCCTACCATCAGCACATTTCCCACTCCTAAGCTCCTCACCTCTCTGCCAGGCTGCTGCAGGTCTCACGAGTAATGTCTGGTGCCGTAGGCCAGACCTGACTGTCAGGGGCCGTGGCCTCCTGGGTCAAGGCTGCCTCCAGGAGGGAAGGGGTACTATGCCGATCCCCATCCCCAGGGCCTCCATCCAGGCTAAGCTGGGGGCCAAGCTCGGGTCCCGGCCGGGGCCGTGGAGACAGCAGGTGTAGTGCTGAAGCAGCTGAGGCCATACTGTCTGGCTCCAGGCCCTCCGGAGCGGAGGAGCCAAAGCCACGAGACAGCGCCTCAGATGCGATCTCAGGGATATCCTGGGACAGGGCAGTGGAAGCCGAGGAGATAACATCGGGGGAGCGGGTGCGGCTGGGGGACGCCTGGGGTAGCCCCAGGGGCTCCACTTCCTGCAGCTCCAGGGATAGTGTAGAGGCAGCAGTAGGCACCTGAGGTAGGCCAAAGGTGGGAACTTAGGTGGTGGGAAGTAGGAGTAAAAGGAGTACAGAGACGAAGCACTGGCGTGTGTAGTGATGAGAGATGGGACAACAGGGAAGGGGGAGGAAGGTCAAAAATGGCCGCAGCCCAGGAGGAGAGGAGGTGGGGATGGAAAGGCTGAGGATCTGCCCTCCAGGGACACCGGGGGCTGAGATACCCTCAGGGGAAACATGGACCACCTGAGGAAGAGCAGGACCAGAAGACAAGGTGCTGTGGGAGGAGACTGCCGCCAGCCTTCCCACTCCCATATACCTGCTATACTGCACTTCACACACACCCACATACGCACCTGCCCAGGCCCTTTGGGAGGCAATTTGTCGGCCGGACTTGGGAGCAGGCCAGGCAGGAGGCTACGTGGGCTTGCCTGCAGGCTGCTGCTGCTGCTCATTGTCAGACCGCCATCCAGCTGTAGCTTGGGGCTCAAGGTCAGCTCCTCAGGTGGCCTGCTGGCAGGAAGGATGAAGTGTAAGCAGCCAGAGCCTGGCATCACCTGGCACCAGCCCCTGACATGCCCTAACTCTGACCCTCATTTCACCTGGGCAAGGAGGGGTCCACGGCCGAAGTACTGCTCATGGCAGACACCGCCGTAAGAGAGGAACTGCTGCTGCTGCTGCTGCTGCTACTGGGAGATGCAGCGATCTGGGGAGATGTGGAGAACGAGGGCTGTGGCTGTGGGGGGCACTCCCAGGGCCTCCCTCCCTGTGCCCCACACTCCTCCCGCAGCATACCTGCTGCAGGGAGGTGCTAGGTGTCATGAAGGCGTCAGGTGTCATCAGCTTGGGCTTGGTCTCACTGCTCAGACTGAGGAAGTCGGCAGGTGCAGGCAGCTCCACGATGCGTCGGAGGTCAGACTGGGAACCGTGAGTGGCCGATCCCAGGCCCTCAGAAGCCAGTTCTGGTCGAGACTCTCCAAATGCTGTGGG